CACACACACACACACACACACACACACACACACACACACGTTTTGTATTTTTCTTCTACAGCCCCTGTCTCTTTCTGGCACGTGCACACATGTTAATACAAAAAAATAACATTTCATAAAAACAGTAACTTTTTCCATTCATTCTCATAAATCAGCTGAATAACATTTGAATTTGTCCATAATATTCCCAGAAAAAATGTGAATTTTTTCTGAATGTGACTTGGTAAGTGATCTAAATTTTTAAGCATTTGAACATGTGGTGGAGATTAAAGCTTCATCGCTGAGAAACAACATTTTTAAAAAGATTAAAGAGGCACTATGTGTAATTACAAAACACATTTACATGCAGTAAAACAGCAATGTCAATGCGATGCAGACTGTGAGCAAGCTAACAGAAGATATGATCAGTGTGGCATATATTCAGCAGCATCGAATAATGCATATTGTACTAAGCAATAATAATAATACATTTATTCTCATGCCTTCCTCTGCTTGAACATCATCAGATTAGAAGAGACAGAAGAAAAAACATCAATAGAGAAAGAACTGAAACTCACCCAACATATTCTCATTTAAACTACAAATCTATTCACCACCAGATCTGAGCACTTTTCTGTTTATAAATTACACTGACACTGAAACAGAAGTCACAGTTGACCTGTTAGATATGGTTCCATGTTACTGAGAATGACCCCATCAAACAGGCTGGGAATTTAATAACTAAAAAAGAGGACTTAGCCTTTTAGGTACAAGCTCGCTCTGTCAGTCAGCATACAGAGATTTACTTAGTCATGGTGGCTAACAGTGTCCAGATGGCCTGATGAAGCACTATCTAATTACTTCTCCTATGAATCCTCTGTTACAGATAAGTACTTACTGCGCCATCACTATTTAATTTCCTTCACCTCCCCAACGAGTGCTCACGCATTTGCAGATCAGTCGAAAGTGTACGCAATATTGAGCAATAACAAATATTMGATGAGATTTTGTTTACTTGCAGGTAGTGAGGCGAGATGTAAAACTACACGAGTGAGCTCTGAGATCAGAATTTCGTCCAGAGCTGTCCATTCAGTGCAAGCTGCTCCGTCATAAGTCTGACTGTTCACAGGCTGCACCACAGAAAGACAAAAACACAGATTTGTTTATATAGTGGCAAAACTTTAAAAGAAGGGCAGTACAAATACTCTGTGTGGTAGAACAGGATTCACCAAAGCAAATGTGGTAATATTATGTAGCTCTTTTACTGGATGTGTGCTCTGAATGTAGGGGTTTTTCACGTGGAAGTGAACTAAAAAAGTTATTTAATAAAACCTGCTGTAGCACTATACAGGTGCTGGTCATAAAATTAGAATATCATGAAAAAGTAGATTTATTTCAGTAATTCCATTTAAAAAGTGAAACTTGTATATTA